CTATTCTATTCTATTCTATTCTATTCTATTCTATTCTATTCTATTCTATTCTATTCTATTCTATTCTATTCTAGTATACAGACAAAAATGTTTAGCATTTTACAGGACAACTGAATTATAATGGCATGTTTTGCCTCTAAAAAGACTCATTTTTTATGTCTGAAGTGCAAAACATCACCATATTCTTTAGGACCTACTAATATCCTTATTTTAATGATGCTACTATATATGTTCGTCAGTCTCTAAAAATGAACTACTTAGGGCTTTTGACTTTATTTAAAAGCCTTGAATTTTCACAATATTTAAATAAAATTATTATTATTATTTCCATTTCTACCCCTATCTTTGGGCCCTCAGAGTCACTAGCAGTTTATAGTAATACATGAAAACTAGAAGTGGAGCTAATCAAATTAATTTTCATTTGGCTGCAGAACTTGGCTTTCTTTAATAATCCAATCCCTGTCACTTTGAGTCAACTCTTAGAGGTCCTGAGCTGGCAGTTTTCATCATATGTTGGTCGTGGACTGAATTCGGATCAGCTTGGCATGCTGGCAGAAAAGCTAACAGGTAAGAACCGAGAATGTGCTTTGCCATATCAAACTAAAGAAGTATGTATACAATTTCCCATCCATTGTTTGACATTGACATGAGAGTTTCAGTTAGGGTAGTAGAAAAGAGTCTTTGCTTTGAAGTTCCAGTTAAGGAAACAGGTTTGTCTTTTTAAACTATCATGACTTCATTTGAAAACAAGTGATTTTTTTGGAAGGACATCACTCCCATTTTTTTCTGTTTATATTTTAGGGCAACAGATTACTTCCGGTGATTATCAGCTTTCATGGTCAAAGTTTTGTAAGGTACTGTATGTCATTAATATATCTCATTTTCAAAATGTTACTTGTTTATTACATAAGCTTGATCCTTCAGTGTCACAGAATCTTTCCATAAGGGTTTTTTTTTTCTTTAGAACTTTCTGTAAGATTGTGTCCTTTTCTTTCCATAAGGTTCTTTCTTGTTTCAGGTAAAGGTATCCTTCATGTGAAATTTCTACCTTACTGTTAAAATGCACTCTCCCTATTGCAAATACAATGGTTAGTGGGTCTATCTTGCTTCATTAATGAATGGGTGGCTGTACTATTTTGAAAAAAACCCCACTTGTTATATGGTACTAAGCAAGGGAAAAATTTTAAATGCATTGACAATGTTTTAAAAAAGGGACAGTGGAAAAGTTAAATCTGACACTGTTTACATCTTTTCTCTTAAAAAATATTGGAAATGCCCATAGAAGACACATTCATAAATTCTTGAGCAAAACCAACAAAACTAGTTTCTGTTTAGGTTTTTTTTTTTTTTTACTCAAAAGACAATTATGAGATAATAGTAGAAATGATTTGGATATTTTGGAATACTTGATACAACATAATGAAAAACAATACTGTAATCAGCAATTTGAATTGGACTTTTTTGTTTGGAGTTCTGGAATATATGAACCTTGAAGATAATTTTATTAAATGGGTAACATTAATTTCAGTTCTCAGAAAGCACAAATAATCGTTAATCAAGAACTATCAAAATCTTATGAGATTCAAAAGGGACAAGACAAGGACTGGTAAAAATACGTTTTGCTAAAGCGTGAATTGGTTCTGTCTAAGGGGAAAGGAAACTGAAATTCTGAAGAAAGAGTCTAAGATAAATTATGCCTTGCAAAAAACTCAAAGTATTGCTTAAACTACTCAGTGAAATACTGGAAAAAATATTGACTTGTAAAGTTCATTGCCCTCATTGACTATATACTAATACTTAGAGTATTCAACCAGGTGAGTTTGATTTCTTACTAGTAAAAGGTGTTTGTATTTTAAAAGGCTTAATGGAGACCTCTTAGAATGATATCCAAGACTGGAATACAGCTATTAAAGATTACAATTATTAAAGAATACAACTATTAAGGGACACTTGAACAGAGCTAATGACAGTTTTTAAAAGGGGGGAAATTCTGATCATTTTGTCTGACTCAGTTACTGAAGGTGCTAGTCTAGGATAGACAAAACTGATCTGTAAGCACCTTGAAGACAATACGTTAAGTACCAGGATTCAGTTTGAGAACCCTGCCAGATCAGCTTATCTCATTTTTTAATAAATCCCTTAATAGATTTAGAATTACAAGTAGTCCTTGTAATTCAACCTTACAACAACTGAGCCCAACATTTCTGTTACTAAGCAAGACAATTGTTAAGTGAATTTTGCTCCATTTTATGGCCTTTCTTGCCACAGAAGTTAATGGAATCACTGCAGTCATTAAGTTAATAACACAGTTGTTAAATGAATCTAGCTTCCCATTTGACTTTGTTTGTCAAAAGGTTGCAAAAGGTGATCACATGACTCCAAGACACTACGACCGTCATAAATACATGCCAGTTGCCAAGCAATGGAACTTTGATCACATGACCGTTAGGATGCTGCAATGGTCATATGTGTAAAAAACAGTCATAAGTCATTTTTTTCCAGTGCCATTGTAACTTTGAATGATCACTAAATGAATTGTTGTAAGTCAAGGACTACCTGTACGTAGATATATCTTAAATTCAGGAAGGCTTCTTTCATAGTAATAAATGAATATATAGCTCCCACAAAAATCATTCTGAAAGAATACAGTTTTTGCTTACTGGCAGCTTGCTTAGCAACTGTTCAAAGTTATAAATGGTTATAAAAGGAGTCTTACAACAGATCTTCAAAGTTGTGGCTTTGAAGCATCCGTGCAGTCAATGTGATTTCAATGCAAGTGCTTTGCAACTGGTGACCATTTATGATTCATTGCTGACTTCTAAGAAGCAAAATCAATAGGAAAGCTGGCAGGAAGTAGCAAGTGGCAGTCCTGTGATGTCGCACTTAATAACGCACAATGATTTGGTTAACAAGTTCAGGCAGAGCTAATGTCATAAATCAGCATGGTCACATGACGTTTCACTTTATGGCTGGGTCACTTAGCAATCGACTTGTCAGTCCCAATTGTGGCTGGTAAGTGAGGACTACTTTTATTCAGCAAAAGTTCCTCTTTAGATGGAAAATGGCAGTAGAGTACCAGTGCTGGGTGCTTTATTCTTCAATGTTTTTATAAACGACTTGAATGATGTGCGCTTATTGATATGTTAATTAAAATATATTGCTTCATTTATACTATACCCAATTCATTTTATAAACAGGAACACTTGCCTGGTAAATCATTTACATTTTGGGCATGGCTTGAAGCAATCTTGGATCTGATTAAAAAACACATTCTTCCGCTTTGGATTGACGGGTAAGCCACATTTTTGCAAAAGTAAAGCCCTGGGGAAAGCTTTGCTTGTTAAAAAAAAAAGGTAAGTATAATCGATATTCAACAAATCTATAGGGAGAAATTAGTTGGCCAAGTTCTGGTTCTCTTACCTTTATCCAGTTTGCGTTTAGCATTCGTGGTACTGTGATCAGAATCCGAAATATAATATTCTTGCAGAAATAATTCAGTGATACATGCACTCTGTTCCATTACACCAGGATTCTCAAACTTGATTTCACTGATTGTTAAACTCAATTTCATTCACATCAGTGTTGTGTTTTACCTTGGGGGCTGGAGTGAGCATGGCCAGGGTGGGTGTGGCCACTTTAACATCATTCGTGTTGGGGGTGCCTGCGGTGGCTCAAGTGCTCTGCCAACGAAAATGGGCTGCCGAGCTCCGTTTTCAGCTGCAACGGCCTCCTGCAGCCCTCTGCCAGTGAAAGCAGAGCTGGGATGGGCTGGCCCCCTGGGCCCTGTTTTCAGCTGCGACAGCCATCTACAGCCCTCTGAGAGCTCCATTTTCACTGGCAGAGGGCTGGAGGCCGTCACGGCTGAAAATGGAGCCTGGGAGGGCCATGTGCAGCCCACCCAAGCTCTGTTTTCGCTGGCAGAGGCACTGCAAGCCAATCTTTTGCTGTTTCCAGGACAGCCCTGTGGGCCAGATCTAAACACCCCATGGGCCGGATTCAGGGTGTCAAACTGGCCTTGGGTTTGACACCCCTGCATTACACGTAGCTTGCAGTCAAAGTAGACAATGAAGCAGGGGTGGGATTCTACCAGTTCGCACCTATTCGCTAGAACCGATTGTTAACATTCTAAGCAGTTCGGAGAACCGGTTGTTAGAAGAAATTACTGGCCTAATCCTGTAAGGAAGACAGGAAGGAAACATTCTGGTGTTGCTTACAGAAACTGCCTCTCTGTTAACCCTTATTATATTCTTGGCAGGACTAGACTTTCTGTCTCAGGAACTTCTCTGAAGTTTTTTCCCCCTCCTTTGCTTGTGTGGAGTGACCATTCAAAGTTACAATGGCACTGAAAAAAGTGACATGACCATTTTTCACACTTACGACTGTTGCAGCATCCCCACAGTCATGAGAGGCCAGGCGAGGAGATGCGTGCCTCGATGTGAGTGATATTGAGTTGGCCACGCCCAGCCAATAACATGACCACCAAGCCACGTCCACCAACTAAGGCACGCCCACAGAACAGGTTGTTAAAAAATTTGAATCCCACCCCTGCAATGAAGATTGAAATCATTCTAAAGATTGAAATCATTTTAAAGATTGAAATCATTCTAAAGATTGAAATCATTCTATCTAAATCATTAGATGCATATATGTTATTTTCAAATGTTTTTTAACTGATGCATTGTGGAAGGTGTGAGCAAAATGCTTAACTGAATAATTGAATTCAGTTAATTATATAACTGAATATTTAATCAATCCTTAATCATTGTTATAATAATAACAATGACTCAAATTAGCATATGACTTGAAATAATTATTATTATTAATCCTCCAATAGTATTTATTTTTTAAAGAGGTTCGGGAGATATTAATGATGGTGGGAAATACAATGACAGAAGAAGGGATATTGGGCAAGAGGTTTGTAACTTCCTGACTATATATTGCTTCTTTGAAGCTTTTATTCTAACTGCAGAAAGCAGCAGATTCTCATTCAAGTTCAAACACAAGTTGAATCTTGTGGCTGCCCATATCAATGCAGTTTCCTTGGCAGCAGTATAGAAGTGGTTTCTTGCTGCTTCTTCCAGGATGTGTTGTTAACTTCCCAATGTAGCCTGCAAACTGAGAAATTCTAGATGGTTTCTCATCTCAGTAATAATCCAATTCAACCCTGTTTAGGTGGGGTTTTTTTTTTCAGATCAACCAAAAATAGTTAAATGTTGTCACCTGCTCGGCCACCAGGCGAAATACCATTCCTGTATTTGTGTCAGACTGGCAATTGAAAAACAAATTCCTTCCTCCAGTGCCACTTCTCTAATCATGTGTGGTCTTTTGTTAGACTACAAGGCTGATTAATCCTGTAAAAACTTCCATTTTGGTCTGCCAACCAGAAATTATCTGGGATTATCATATAACATTTTCCCAGGTGAATTCCACAGTCCTTTTTTACAGGTATGCATCCACATAAAGTTGTACTTTCTCATCCTGTTTGCAGGTGTATAATGGGTTTTGTGAACAAAGAGAAGGAGCGAGCTTTGCTGAAAGACAAGAAACCCGGGACGTTTTTGCTGAGGTTTAGTGAAAGCAATTTAGGAGGGATTACGTTTACCTGGGCATCCCAGTCTGAAAATGGTAAGTACTGTATTGCTAAAATACATAACACTTCACTTTATTTTCACCTTTCCTTTATGATCCCTTAAACCCTTTGTGGATAGGTACAAAAGAACTCTGCTCCTTTGATCTGACATGCTGAACTACTGATGCAAATCCATTTGTGGATTAGGCACTTTATTTTCCAAGTTGTGCCTTGTCCTTTTTGTTTGTTTACAAAATCTGCAAACCTATCCTCTTATTAATTTGATTACCATATATTATAGTACTCCTTATAACTCTGTCCTTTTATTAACAACTCTGTTATCTTCGCAGGGGAAGTGAAGTTTCACTCTGTTGAACCATATAACAAAGGCCGCTTAACTGCCCTGCCATTTGCAGACATATTACGAGATTACAAAGTTATTTCAACAGATAACATTCCTGAAAACCCATTGCAGTATCTTTATCCCAATATCCCCAAAGACAAAGCTTTTGGAAAGCACTACAGCTCTCAGCCTAATGAAGGTCAGAAATTGTTTTGAATGTTTTCCCGTCCCTTAACTCAGCTAAATGTGTGAAGTGACATCCTCCTACATACCCAGAATCTCCTACATTTTAGTCTTGAATGAAAATTAATGGGCATCATATTTTACATTTAGTATCAAGACCTACAGAAGGAGGAACCAAAGGTTATGTCCCTTCTGTCTTCATTCCAGTCTCCAAAATGTGAGTAATCATTCTATTTTTTTCAGTTGTTATTTCCTAAAGTAATTAATATAGGAAACTTAGCAAACTCTGCTGCAGGATGTTGTTCTTTAACTGAGATGTTAAAACATAATGATAAACCTAAACTTTTTTTGAAAAAATAATTTGATTGAGAGAAAGGGGGTGATGGGATGAAAGGAAAGGCATTGCAAACACGTGAGAATAAAAGTAAGGTGTTACAAAATATATCATGTTTCACTTACTAAACGTAATTGTCTTTTTTTTTTTAGTCTGAATAATTCCACAGATCCACCTTCTCCATCAGATCTTCTTCCCATGTCACCAAGTGTTTATGCTGTTTTGAGAGAACACTTGAGCCCTTCTGTAATGGAAACTGCTGTACGTTACACAGGTTTTGTTTATTTTTATTTTATTTTTAGAATAGGATAGGGTAGGATAGACTAGAATATAAAAGAATAGAATTCTTTATTGGACACACAAGGAATGTGTCTTTGGTGCATATGCTCTCAATGTACATAAAAATACATTCATCATAAGATACAACATGTAGTGATAATTAGGATACTAAATGAGTAATCAAATCATACTAGGAAACTAAATAAAACGATATAAATTGTAAAGATACAAGCAACTAGGTTATAGTCATAAGTGGGAGGAGATAGGTAATAAGGATGAGAAGAATAATAGTAATACAGTCTTAGTAAATATTTTGACAGTGTTGTGGAAAATAGTTGTTTAGCAGAGTGATGGCATTCGGGAAAAAACTGTCCTTGTATCTAGTTGTTCTGGTGTGCAGTGCCTTATAGTGTCGTTTTGAGGGTAGAAGTTGAAACAATTTATGTCAATTTATTTAGGATGTGAGGGGTCTGTAGATATTTTCACAGCCTTTTTTTTTTTTTTACTCGTGCAGTATACAGGTCCTCAATGGAAGGCAGGTTGGTAGTAATTGTTTTTTCTGCAGTCCTAATTACTCTCTGGAATCTGTGTCTGTCTTGTTGGGTTGCAGAGCCAAACCAGACAGTTATAAAGGTGCAGATGACAGACTCAATCATTCCTCTGTAGAACCGTATCAGCAGCTCCTTGGACAGTTTCAGCTTTCTGAGTTGGCGCAGAAACAACATTTTTTGTTGTGCTTTTTTGATGATGTTTTTGATGTTAGGTGTCCATTTTAAGTCTTGAGATATGATAGAACCTAGAAATATGAATATCTCTACTGTTGATACTGTGTGTTGTCTGGTATTGTAAGAGGTGGTAGTATAGGAGGGTTTCCCCTAAAATTTACCATTTCTGCAGTTTTACAAGCAGGTACTGAAAAAATGACTCTTTGATTCATTTTTGATTCATGAGAAATAATAAGCTATCTGAATAATCAGACCTTATTGTTATAACTATGTAATAGCAATAGCTTAGACTTACATACTGTGCTTTACAATCCTCTCTAAAAGGTTTACAGAGTCAGCAGATTGCCCCAACAATCTGGGTCCTCATTTTACCCACCTCAAAAGGGCAGAAGGTTGAGTCACCTAATAAAAGAGTGTCAATTTACAAATGCTGCTATTTCTTTAGTTTGATTCTTCATACATCATTAAGCTTTTGCTGCTGAGAATATCTTTATTGGGGAAGTGATAACAACCTGAATATACAGAACTTAAAAACAGTTCAGGAAGTTGAAAACCATTTTATAAACAAGTAAATACAATTGAAAGTGGAAATATAGCAGAAGGTACATTTGCAAAGGCAAACACTCAGATTATATCACAGTCATTTTGCGCTGTCGCAACTTAAATTATTTTAGACCAATTTAAGGAGATTAGTGGTTCAGTACAATTATTGAAACTTTCCCCAGATTAACAGTGCTAGATTAAAATATTTCATTTTCCTTTAAAATGAACAATATAATTCTGAATGCAGTAATAGCAACTTGAAATGTTTATGGAAGTTGTTTATTCAAAGCATATTTTAGCCCAAATGCTTAGCTACCTATCTTTTAAGACAACCTGTCTGCCAGAGCTACTTTATTTTGCACATCTGGTTCCATCCTTTATATCCTTCTTTGTTTTCTGCTTACCTTAAGTTCTACAGATGCAGATAACAAATACCGTTTGGTACCTTTCCACTTTTTTCACAAAAAAATCCCAATTTGCTATGAAATAAATTTAAACTGATATAAGTAAATGGCATTCACAAATGTTATTTTATAGCCCATGGAGTAGACACTTCAGTTTTGATGTGCAAGTTAACATATTCTTGCAAATGTTGGTAGTCCTATGGTCACAGCCATTCATTTTAATAACTATTCGAAGTTATGAAGGGTCTGAACTAGGGACACTTACTCTTTTCCTTAAAGTCTGGTTATTGTAGCATCACTACAGTCACCTGACCATGATTCGGACACTTGGCCACCAGCTCTCAATTATGATTGCAGCTTCCTGCAGTCGTGTGACCACCCTTTATAACCTTTCCTGCCAGCTTTCCATAAAGTCAATGGGGAAGTTGGCAGGAAGTTGCAAGTCATTCCTGCTCCTGCCACTTTTTCTCCCAAGGAGCTCCTATGGCACTTGCTCACCCTCCATAGCATCCACCCATAGCAACTACTGGCCCACTCACACACTGTAGTACCCATTTGGCCGTAGTTCTTGCCTATCAGCCTACTTATCTGAGACTCCTAGGTCTTCCCACATTTGCGGTCACACGAGGTTCTCATTTAATGACTTATGTGGTCTTTGGGTTATGATAGCAACAAAAACTGTGGGATTGCTATTACTAAGTGATGCATTCATGTGATATCGAGTTTTATAACTGCAATGCTTAGCAATGGAAATTCCAGTCCGATTTCTCATCACAACCCAAAGTTATTTAATAAAACAAATGAGAATAGCATGGACATAATTACTGGTACCCTAATCTATTCCGTAGACATTTTGCAGTACACTGTTTTGGGGCAATAACTTCAATCAAGTACTTTCTGTAACTCTGAATAAAATTTCCATACTTCTCAAATGGCAATTTGTCCCATTCTTGAACAAACTGTTCCAGTTAGGTTTTAGATTCTTTCTCCCAAATGTGAGTGTCAGCACTTTCTATGGATGCTCTGTTGGATTGTTCTGACCGAGGCTTCCCCAACAGTATGAAACCGACTCCTTGTCCCAACAAACCCCTTATTTAGTTTACAGTGAATTCCTCTCCAGCAATGTCCCAGTCAACAGTCTTTCAAGGTATTTCACAATTACAGACCTTTATCAGGCTTGGAGAGTTGCCAGGCTGATATCTTTCAGATGCTACACTGTAGCAGACACACTTGGCAAGAATGCAGGAACAGATCTTCACCCAAATGAACTAATTGTCTCCTGCAAAATCCCACTCCCCTTTTGCTCCTCTTTTACTCCCTATTGGAGGGGCCATTCACCGTCCACCTACTCTCAAGTCAACCCTTGTTCTTTAGCTGTTCCCTTCTTCTGGCAGCTATGCGCATGTGCACATTGGAAACAGGCTCCAGCTGTTCCTCTGCCTCAATAATGTCCAATTCCAAAGGCAGCTGATACCTGTCAGACGGCCCTGGCCCCATTTCTGCTTCCAACGCAGAATACTTGTCAGAGCCTTCCCCAGACTCTAGGACTGGCCCATGTTCCTCCCCAACCTCCTCACTGTCCAAATCTGCTGCCAGCTCCCCTGGACACTGGCAGGCCACGACATGGATTCAGATCCAAATTCATAGCAGGCCACTTCAGAACAGACAAATGTTTGCTTTTTAACCATTTTTGATTTTCTTGGATATATGGTTTAGATCATTATCCTGCCTAAGGACCTATGACCTGCAACTGACACAGAGCCTTTTAACACTGGGAGCATTATATTTTTCTCCAGAATGCCTTGATAATCTTCTGGTTTTCTTGTGCCCTGCTCAGATTCAAGGCACTCAGTGCTGGAGTCAGTAAAGCAACTCCATAACATGAGGGAGCTTCCTCCATTTTGCCCTTAAAGGCATTATTTTTTCTTCTGTAAACATAGAGCTGCTGTGACCTGCCTAAAAGCTCCACCTTTGTTTCATCTGTCCAAAGTCTGTGGAAGGACTGTGGCTTGTCAACATGCATTTTATCAAACTCCAGTCTGGGCTTTTTGTGTCTTGTCTTTCAGAAGTGAGGTTTTTCTGGATCTTCTACCATGAAGGCCATTTTCACTCAGACACTGTTGGATGGTACAACTCAATATTTATTTATTTATTTATTTATTTGATTTATATTGCCGTCTATTCGTCCATGGCAACTCAAGGCGGCTTACACAATGTAAAATCATATTTAAAACAAAAAATAAAAATAAAAACAATAAGAACTAACAAAAAGAATGAAATAAATTAGTAAAGTACAATAGAACAAAATTTGGGAAAACAAACAAAAACAAAAACCGACTCCCCATCCCCCACCCCGACGACTGTGGGTCGCACTAGCCACCTGATGGGTTCCATCCCTCTCTGGGTTCCCCAGGCCCGCTGGCAAAACCAGGTCTTCAGTGCCTTTCAGAATAGTATTAATGAGGGGGCCATTCTAATCTCTGGGGGAATGATGTTCCAGAGAGATGGAGCCACCACAGAGAAGGCCCTTCTTCTAGGTCCCACCAGGTATATCTCCCTCGGGGTGGGACCCGCAGCATTCCCTGCCTCCTCGCTCTAATGAGTCGGGTAGATGTCACTGGCAAGAGAAGTTTCCTCAGATAACCTGGACCCAAGCCATGAAGGGCTTTAAAGGTGACAACCAGCACCTTGAATTGCACCCTGAAGCAAATTGGCAGCCAATGCAGCTCCTGCAGGAGAGATGATACATGTGCACACCGGGGTCTGCATAAAACCATGCGGGCCGCTGCATTTTGCACCAACTGGAGCTTCTGGATGCTCTTCAAGGACAGCCCCATGTAGGGCACATTGCAATATATTGTTGTGCAGGTAGTCCTCAACTTACAACAGTTCATTTAATGACCATTCAAAGTTACTACAGCACTGAAAAAATTGACTTGCGACTGTTTTTCATAGTTACAACCTTTGCAGCATCTTCGTGATCATACGATCAGAATTCAGATGCTTGGCAACTGGTTCATACGTATGATGGTTGCGGTGTCCCAGGAACATATGATCCCCTTTTTCGATCTCTTGACAAAGTCAATGGGGAAGCCAGATTCACTTAACAACAGAGTTACTAATTTATGAGCTGCAGTGATTCACTTTTACAGCTGAGGCAAGAAAGGTCATAAAATGGGGCAAAACTCATTTAACAAATGTCTCATTTAACAACTGAAATTTTGGACTCAGTTGAGGTCATCAACTTTGAACTTGGTGGCCAGGCAGGATCTGTTCTGAAGTTTTCCTTGGTTCTTTCACCCACTATTCAAACGATCTTTCTGTTCATATCAAGGTCAATTTTCCTCTTGCAGCCACATCCAGTGAGGCTAACTATCGTCCCATAGATCTTAAACTTATTGATAATATTCACATCCAAGATCATAGGAATATAAAACTGTTTGGAGATTGTTTTGTAGCCTTTCCCTTTACTATGTTTGGCTATTATCTACCTTCTCGGATATCTCCCTACTTTTATTTTCCTGTCCATGTTCACTATGCTGTACACAATGACACAAAATGCCTAGTATTTTTCTCCATTCCGATAAGTTGAATGATGAGATTGAAGACATCTGTGATACTAATTAAAATAGCTTGCTTGTAAAATCACTAAAACCCAATGTCTTTTAACTTCCAAGGAGTACCAATCATTATGTCCATGGCATTTTCATTTTTCTTAATTACTTACGAGAATAAGTTGAGTCGTATTGGCATTTTAATTATTTTCAAGAAGGTGCGGTTCATATTGCATTTAAGCAAAAAAAAATCTATTAATTCTGACAAACTTACATATTTTTTTCTCTTGCAGTTGAATTCTCCGTATGCAGCTGAGTGACATTAAGATACTGAAGATTTTACAACGCAGATGAACAAGTTTGTGTGCATTAATATGTGTTTATAAGAGAATGTTCTTAATTTCCCTGTACTATAAATATATTTTTCCAAGTCTGTAGAGATTCTCAGTCACAGCTGTCCCAAAGGTGCTTTTTCAGCAGGCAACTGGACTTTGTTTTATGAAGACGTTTTGCTTCTCATCCAAGACATTTCTTCAGCTCTGACAGGATAGTGGGGAATGGAAGGATTTATATTCCTTGCAGACAGCTGGTATTTTTCCAAGAAATATACAGAATTCTCATCTTGACTGTAACTCTTAATTTGCTTAAACAAATATTTGATCTGGTTCAGATAATGGTTTGACGTGGCTAGAATAAACTTCATATGCTGTATTATTCAAACACATTATATTGTAGATTTTTATTTAAAGCCAGGTTACTGTAATAACAAAATTCAATTAACAGTCAGCTGAAATCCAGAGTGGCCCCTGGATTATTTAGTTTCCAAAGAAAGTGATGTTCCCAATCAGGAAATGAAATACTTTCCAGTATTCTAAATTTGTATTGCATGCTACATGATTATGCTATATTTTTCCAATGCTGTTGCGCAAAACTCTTATTTTTATAAACACTTTCTAACTTTATTTATTGAGTTGTTAGCTTGCTTATGGTGTTTATAAGGTCTCTCCAATCCACCCATTCTTAAAATTCCCCAATATCTAAAAATGTATTAAATTGTATGAAAACCATAGTCATTGTAAAAAAATTACAATCACATAATGCTTTTGTAGAACCAGGAATGGCAGAAATAACTGAGATCATACTACACTTCCTATAGTATTCTTCAACACGTGATCCCTGAACTACTTACCTGTAGCTCCAAGAACACCCTCTAATTATGGGTGAACTTGGGTTTCTTAACATTTTAAGAAACAATCAAACCTAGTGCAAACTTATCTGTCTTTAATTTTTACAAAAGACGAAAATCCCAATTATCTCCCCCCCCCCCCAGCAGCTTATCCTTTGGCGCCTTTCTCCTTCTCACTGTGCTACCCTAACTCTCAAGGTTAGCTACCATCTTTAAGAGAAAAACTACTCTAATGAAGAAACTTGATTTCATCACAGGCCACTTTACTAGTCTTTGCAGAGGCTACCTTTATGAGATAGCAGAGATGAAGGGATGAAGTAGAGAAGGGAGGCAACCATCTAATTTATGACACTGCCAAGCTCTTTGCCATGGGAATCTTCATCTAAATTTTACCACTGCTAGGATGATAGCCATCAACTTTCACACAAGGGGTTTCTACATCAGAACATTCAGTTTAGTGCAATTCTGTGTTAGCAGTTATGACTTCCTTATAAAAGCAGCAGCAATACCGTAGTAAGATAAATTTGCTATGAAAAGTCTTTATGGAATCTAAAGTGAAGAAGGATTCATAAAGGGGAAGGTAGTTGGTCTTTTTGGCATAATTATGACTTTATGAAAACCCCTAAAGTTTAGAGCTGTGAAAGATTCAAGTTTACAGTTTACACCTAAACGCAAAGTGAAGCTGGGTTTATTGTGATTTTCAAACAGGCCGGAAACTAGCACATTGCAATGTATCTAGTACTGAGCCCTTCAGGCAGGGAGAAAAAGGATCTGACATCTCTTTATCATCAATTTGCCTCCTGGAAAATGTTGAGATGAACTATGTTTTGAGGTGGAAATTCTACAGTAATGTATTGTTTTGGCTCTCAACTTTATTATAAAAACAGCTAGGTATGGTGCAGCAAAACCAACAGCATTCTAAGACCTCATTCTAAGACAATTATTAGCCATAGAAATAAAAATGTCCTCTTTCATGATGCCCACAAAGCTTTAAATGCTAAGAAAGCAAAGTTGGCTGACTTTAGCATGACTGTTTTGTGTCAAGTAGGTCAGATTCTTATGCTGTCCCGATTTTTTTCATTACTGTAAACTCTTTTGTGCTTCTGGAAAATCCCTCTCCTTTTGCTATGTTCAGCCAGATGGGAGGAGCCCTTCACAGATGTTATAAAGACCAACTGACTATAAGAAGCAACTGTCTGCAGGAAAGTGCTGTCTCCTTTGCTTTGGTTGCCAAGGTTATCACCATTAAAGGGATCCCCACTTGCAGAGGTTCCCATAAAGGCTATCTTCATAGACTGCGATTGCAAAGAAAAGTATTTCAATGTTTGCCACCAATTTGTTTTTAGAAATATTGGTCTGCTACGTTCAGAACACTGAGGCAGCACAATGGGTAATAATGAAAGTGAACTAGGAAAGTCCCAAATGCTAATTGCTTCTCAGCCATAAATTTAAACTTTTATGCCAGGTAAGCCATTTTCTCACAGGCTGTGCCGGGTGAGGTTGCAAACCTGCTTGCATAAGTGTGCTTTCCCTCTGTGAAATAACCAAGGGCGAGTCCACCTTTTTCCTACTACCCATTCCAACTTCTGCTCCAAGTAACAACTACATAGCTGAAATCTATTACTCTGCATAGCTGTACATTATGCTATCTGAAGAATGCATGGTTCACCTGGTCTCTCAGCTCCGGAAGATACAGATACAGATTAAGAGTTGGAAGGGACCAATTTAAATTGGCAATTTTTTATTGAACAATTATCTAGGATGAAATTTGGTGAAAAATTTATATGATTAATTAAAACAATATACACCACACAAAATGCAAAAGTAGTGATTAATGGAGAAACCACAGACAATTTAAAAGTAAACAAAGGAGTGAGACAGGGATGTCCTCTTGCCCCACTACGATATTATCAGCAGAAGTGTTGTTGATTCAAATAGGGAAAAATCAAGACATTCAAGGTCTGGCCATTAAAAAAGAAACATACAAACTACAAGCTTTCACCGACTATATGGTTTGCATAATGGAAGACCCAAAAGAGTCAAGTAAAAATTTAATACAGGAGATAGAGGCATTTGGAAAGGTGGCGGGGCTCAAAATTAACAAAGAAAAGACTAAACTAATAACCAAAAATTGTACTAAAAGGCAAAATGAGGAATTGACGAATGAATTAGGGATTCAGATAACAAAAAGAGTAAAATATTTGGGGATCTGGCTTATGGCGAAATGTTCCACAATCAAGACAGACAACTATGATAAATTGATTGCTCAGTGTTGTAATGATGAGGCAGTCGAGTTGTTTGATCATGATCAACTGAATCATGATGAACTTTATTGGAGTCTAGTCCTGCATTTATACACATTTTTAATTATCCCCCATCATTGGTTAACTTTGGTTACTGCTTAACTTTCGTTACTGTTTAGCATAGTAATTAACACAATTAATTATCTCTAGTTAAAGTCTAACATATGTTTACTTCCTCTCTCTAATCCTCCTTTAGATTAGTGACTTTGTTTACCTGAGTTGTATTTGCTTGGAAACATTCTTTATCTGAGGTTTGCCATCCGAGATTGGAACATTCCTGCAATTACAACTCTACATATCCTCGTTTTTTATTTTAAATGGAGGATTCAAAGATTTATGAATGTATCGCAATTGTAGAGGATTAAGAGAGGGGGAAGCAGGACGAAACAATGCGAATAAATTTGGAATACATTGAATAAAACAACAGGTTGCCATTAGTACAATAATAATAATTATAGCATAAAAGAAAAACTGTCTGAGCCAAGACCAATCAGGGAGCCAATTGGTTAGCGACTTAAAAGGTGAGTAATGAGCATGGATATTATTGAATGTATGATTGTAAATTGGCAAGCTCATCCTCAATAGTTTTATTCAAAGAATGAAAAATTCTGAGGATGAACATTAGTGGCATATTTATCAAAAAAGAACCACATATTAGGATCCTTAAGCTGCCAACCAGCGCATATCGATCCTGTATTAGATTGATCAGAGGCATTAAAAATAGGAAAATTGTCAGGATACATATCAGGAGCTCTATTAATTCCATACAAAGAAGAATTAAAGGTACCTGACAACCAATAGTAGTTAGAACAATAAGTATAATTCCCTAGCTTTTTTAATATGTGCTGAGCAACATCATAATCAGACCAATTATGAAGCCAAGTGTGTTTAGCGTGACAACAGAAACACAGACCCCTTGTAAATGGACTAACTTTCAAGTAATGCCAACGGACAGAATTCAATTGCATAGGAGGTGTAGAAAATAGCCAGGAGTGTGAAATAGATTGTAGTTGTGAGACAATAAATGTAGAAGACATGATCAAGTTAGGGGTAAAAGAAATTTGACCAAATGCCATTGGGGGCTCATAGTATAAAGTAATATTTGTGCCATGGGTCATAAACATGTATTGGGCATGACGAACCCACAAATTAGGGTTAAGACGAACCACAGAAGTGTCATTTTGAGCAGAAGCACCATTAACCATAAACAAGAAAATACAAAGTAAAATGGTAACAGAATTAGTAGTAATAATAGCAAAAACAGCAGCAACAAGATTTTCAGGAGTCTGAGGTAATGAGGCCTGTTGCAGTTGTTGTTGAGCTTGATATGTAGTATCAAGCCTGGCCCCAAGTGATGGGTTGGGGGCGCATTGACCTTGGAAGACGGACTTCCGTGTTCAGATAAAGATTGAAATCCGGAATCGGGTTGTGAAGGCCCTGATGCCATGCCATGATACGGATGAACACAGCGCGCTGGAACCCACACTGCTTGTCGAGTAGAAGGATCTTCCATGGCAGCGTAACCACGACCCCAGGTGATCAGTGGTGTAGGGCCTTTCCAGGTTGGATCTGGAGCTTGGCGATACTTTACCAAAGGCCTTGCTAAAGATTCAGTAGTTCGAAAATGCAAATTAACAGGTGAGTCTGCAAGAGAATCTAAAAAGGTTAAATAATTCCAAGTATGAGATTTTGAATCTTTCGCAGATGGTAAGGGCCAGACTCAATTTGTAATTGTTTCTGAAGCAATGCCTTAAAAGTACGATGAGCTCGCTCAACTATAGCTTGACCCTGAGAGTTGTAAGGAATTCCATGCACTAAAGTAATATTCCATTTCTGACAAAAGGTTTGAAATTCCTTACTAATATAAGCGGGGCCATTGTCAGTTTTAAACTGAGAAGGCCGACCCACTACAGCAAAAGAGGATAGGCAATGAGAAATAACATCTGAAGTACATTCATGTTTTG